TTTCGACATCAAATTGAACCTGCAGACAAGTTTTCCAAAATGATGACAAAAACCACTGCATTACTCTTGAATTGATGAAGCGCAGAAACTTCTGATGGTGCTGAACTCAGAATAATGCTCAATTTCTGATCGGATAAATACAGCTAGATAGCTTTTTTTATGCATTCTAATGAATGTAAGCCAGTTCCGGGACAAAGGAAGAAAGCTTTCTAGAAGCGTACAAAACATGGAGCCTTTAAAAAAGTCGACGTATAGCTTGCAAAGCGCCTGACTGCTTTCGTTAAACTGGCATAAGTGAGTGGGTCGTTCTTTGGGTGCTGTAATAGTTAAAACGGTTCTTCCAGAATAAGGGTCACGCACACGTAAGAACTGTTTCAGAATTATACCACGTCTTCATTTTGAAAGGGTTGAACCTATTTTAGCGTACAGAGGTTTTGTGGTGGCGGGATCTTTGCAGTTCACTGATAGTGGAGTGCCCTCTCTCTCTTTCTCCCTTTATATATGCATATATTTTTTTATTTTATTTTTTTTTTTTGCCTTATTTTATATTTTTTGTATTTATTTGGTTTATTAATATTATTTTATTTAATCAATCAGTTATTTGCTGTATTTACTTATATATATATATATATATATATATATATATATATATATAGGTGCTGTGCTTAAGAGTGCGTATTTTTGTTTGTGGTCGTCCCCAAAATCCTTACAACTTTTTGGTTTATCAAACAGCTTTTGTTTATATATATATATATATATATATATATATATATATATATTATATATATATATATATATATATATATATATATATATACGAAATGCGGGAATAATCTATTATTCGGATAGATCTTTTGTAGGAATCGATTATTGATATCTGTGGAGTAATACAAGGAGTTGAGAATAAAATTGAAAGTTGTACACAAAAAGATGTTGAGTTACAAGTCACCCAGTTCTTTGTCGTAAGTATGGCTGAACCTCGTTTGCCACTTCAAATAGAAGATGCTTCTCGGCCGCAAGATGACAGCTCTGGGTTGTCGGTCGTAAACATCGATACTAGATTGGATAATAGGTAAGTTTTTTAACTTACATATTGTATTGCTTTCGTGAGATGTATTGAATTATTTTTTTTTTTCAGGCAACAGCTTTCAAATGTACGGTTTTTTTTTTAAGGGTGTTAGATTTGCGTACAACGACTAGTCAGGCTATATTTCGCATTGAAGATGGAGTTTGTGAGCTCTTCAGAGCTTCCTTGAAAAAACGAGGTTTCACTGAAATCCATACCCCAAAAATTATTTCAGCCGCCAGTGAAGGGGGAGCCAACGTATTTGAGGTGTAAAAACTATATCCTTGTCATTAAAATCTGCCTCTTTCCGCTTTTGTTATGTAACTGAAGTATCTTCCTCTATCATTCGCTTAGGAAGCTTTCAGGTTTTTTTTGTGCAGTTTTTTTCTGCTAACTTTATATTTTTAAAAATACGTAAAAATGTAATTTTTTGATAGGTTTCGTACTTCAAAGGCTCTGCTTATCTTGCCCAGTCCCCGCAACTTTATAAACAAATGGCTATTGCTGGTGATTTTGATAAGGTAGCTTAGAGTGTATCTTATAAAATAATTGTTGCTTGCTGAGTTCAAAAGTTAGAATAGAAAGCTTAACTTTTTAATAAATAATTGAATGAACTAATCAGTTAATTTTGTCACAGTTCTTTAGGTTTTCACAATAGGAGCCGTTTTTCGAGCTGAGGATAGCAATACACATCGTCATCTTACTGAGTTCGTCGGACTCGATGTTGAGATGGCGTTTAAGTTTAATTATCATGAAGTAAACCATATATTCATTTGGAATCAATGCTTAAGAACTATTTTTCTGAAGGTCTAGTTTAGCTTCTACGCTTCATTTCAGGTTGTCAGGACTGTTGCAGGGATGTTTATTGACATTTTTAAAGGGTTAAAAAGGACTTTCCAACACGAAATAGAGGTGGTTCGTAAACAGTATCCGGCTGAACCGTTCGAATTTGTAGAACCAGCGCTTATTTTGAAGTAAGAAATTCTATAAATGTTCTAAGCAGTATGGTAACTTGTTAAAGGCCTTGTAATAGCTTACTTGGCTGGTTTAGTTATGTGGACGGCGTGGAAATGTTACGAGCAGATGGCGTTGAGATGGGTGATGAGGATGACCTTTCAACTCCGGCAGAAAGGAGACTGGGAGAATTGGTGAAACAAAAGTATAAAACCGATTTTTACATCCTAGATAAGTATCCTCTTGCAGTTCGTCCATTTTATACCATGCCGTGTGCTCACAACAAAAAATATTCCAACAGTTACGACATGTTTATGAGAGGTAACAAGCGTTTGTTAAACTAATTTTTTTTTGAAACTTTATTCTATAAAGTTTTTACTTTAATTTAAAACTGCGTTTTTGTCTTTTTTGTACTATACAGCAATCAAATACCTGGGTTTTTTCAA